CCTCACTCCCTCCTTTTACTTGGTACTGGGTATACAAATGAGACTCAGTCTCTCCCCTCATGAACAAATCTATAGGAATTCAGACAGAGATAAATCAAGTATTGTAGGACTTAGAAATGTTCATAGAATGTTACCCACATCCCAGGAAAGACGAGGTCAATTGAGAGAATTAGAGTGAAAAAAGAACATCTCTAGAGTTGAGATGTTTAAAGATGAATGGAGTGAGAAACCATTTCTGTAAGAAAGTTAGCATGAACAAAGACAGAGTGTAAAGTAGACAAGAACACCTAAATAGCTGCAAGCAGTTTGGTCATTCAACTGAAGATACAAGAAGTGCTACAAGATTTTGGAACAGGTACAATTAAGGCAGGGTCCTGAAAGGCCTTCTCTTTCTGCACTTCAGCAAAGAAAAGTCAGGACCAAATCCACATTTTCAAAAACAGAATTTTTTTAAGTAAAGGAGTGCCATGATCAGCTTTGATTTTTGGGAAAAGGCAGGCGGGGGGAAGCAGGGAATGAACTCTATGGGCGAATGCCAACGAGGGAGGCAAAACTGACTATTGATAACAAGAGACTATCAAACTGTCACAGCAGCCCAAAGTGGGTGGCTGTTCACTTCATCTCGCCTTATCCATCACACTTCATTGCTGGAAGATCTGGGTCAGTAGCTGGAAAGTGAAGATTTTTGCAGAGCTTGTCTCAGTCATCTCGTAAGTCAACTGGAGTTCTGACTTTTTCACATTAGCTGAGGCAAAATAAGACTAGGGTAATACCATGGGAGAGCCCTCATTAGCACATCAAGATTTCAGTAAATATCGAATTCCCATATCCATGTTGATGTTTAAGGATGTGGTATAAGGGGAAGATGTTACTGAAAACAGAATTGATGTGATTTCTAGTAATGGACTGTTTATTTGCTTTATTGATATATCAGTTTATATATAACATACAATTTTACATACTATAATAAAGTTCACCCTTTTGAAGTATGCAGTTCAGTGAGTTTTAGTATCAATGAGTTTTAGCCATTACCAGTATCTGTTCCGGAATATTTCATCAGCTCAGACATATCCACTGACAGTCATTCTCCATTTCTATGCTCCATTTCCCCTACCTCCTGGCAATTCCTAATATACTTTCTGTCTCTGTGGATTTATGGACATTTTATAAAAGTAGAAACATGTGATAGGAGGTCTTCTGTGAATCACTTCTCTCAGCATGTTCCAAGATTGTAGCATATATCAGCACTTCTTAATATGGCTGAATAATACTCTGTTGTATGGTTAATACCACACTTTGTTTATCCCTTCATCAGATGATAAGTATTTGAATTGTTTTCCTTTCTTGGCAATTAGGAACAACAGTGCCATGACATTTTGAAGATTAGAAATGCTGGTTCATAGGGAAACTCCGTTCAAATTTTTGAGTAACTACCAAATTGTTTCCAAGGTGCTCATGCCTTTTTAGATTCCCACAAGTAATATATGAGAGTCCGAACTGCTCTCTTTTTCTTCTTCTTTTTGTTTTAGACTGTTGTTAGCTTAGTCAATGTAAAGTCTCATGGTTTTGATTTGCATGTACCCAATAAACAATAGTGTTGACTGTCTTTATGTATGTGGTTTTTGTTTTAGCTTTAGTTTTGATTTTTCTCTTGGTCACTTGTATATATTCTTTGAAGAAATATCTATATAAATATTTTGCACACTTTAAATTAGATTATTTCTTTTCATTTTAGAGTTATTTATAAATTCTGTGTACTAATCTCATATATAGAATTTGCATGTGTATTATCCCACCTGTAAATTGTCTTTTGACTTTCTTGGAGTCATCCTCTGATAAAAATGCTTTAGGGGCTGGAGCGATAGTATAGCAGCTGACCCAGGTCCAATTCTCAGTATCCCAAATGGTCCCCAGAGCACCACCAAGAGATTCCTGAGTGCAGAGCTAGGAGTAAGCCCTGAGTATCATTGGTTATGACCCAAAAACCTGGAGGGGGAGAAGCTCTAATTGTATAAATAAAAAATTTTTTGTCATTTGTGCTTTAAATATAATATCTAAGACCCCATTCCTTATCTAGGGTCAAAAAAATTTATTCCTGTTTTTTTAAGAGTTTTGTAGACTTAACTGTGATTCATATATCTTCTAAAAGTGATTTTCTTCTTTAGTCTGTTTACATGACATTTTATTGCCTTAATTGGTTTTCAAGTATTAAACTAACCTTATATTATTGTAATAAATCCAACTTTGTCATGGTGTATAATCCTTTTTATGTGTTGCTGGATTCAGTGTCTAAGTATTTTTATGAGGCTTTTGTGTCTCTGTTCATATGAGTGGCTGCCTTTGATAGTTTGTTGTTAATATAAGCCTCATAGATTTCAAGGTGTGAATTTTCCCTTTCTATTCTTTGCGCGAGTCTGTAAAAGATGGGTTCTTATACAACTTTATGAACCCATTCTTGAGTTGAATTCATCAATGAAGCCACATGTCCCTGGACTATTTTTGTGAAAAATTTCTAAATCACTAATGCAATTTATTTCTAAGTTATAGGCACCTACACAGTTTTACCACTCTTTTCCTCTCAGTTCTAAATATATATTCCCCTAGTCATCCAAGAATATTTATTGAGTACTGACCATCTTGAAGCTTAGCATTCTCATTCTGTCTATATATAAATACACATTTTAGTTGATATGGAACATAAACTGTTCTTTGCGTAAAAAATTATTTTCTGCATACCTCTGGTGAAGGAAGTTTCTTAAATTTTAATTCATTGAATATATTATCATGGTTTCTTTAAACTTTTGGTATTCTTTTGTTTTATTTTGTTTGTTTTGGGGCCATGCCCTGCTGTACTCAGGACTTACTCCTGGTAAGTTCAGGGAGCTTTATGGATTGTGGGTAAACAACCCTAGATCAGACAGGTATCTGAGAAGCACCTTGCCCACTGTACTATCTCTCCAGCCCCATAAAACCTTAAGTGTTCTTTCTTTCTTCCTTCCTTCCTTCCTTCCTTCCTTCCTTCCTTCCTTCCTTCCTTCCTTCCTTTCTTCCTACCTTCCTTCCTTCCTTCCGCTTTTTTGGATCACACATGGCACAGGGGTTACTCCTGGCTCCGCACTCAGGAATTACTCCTGGCAGTGCTCCGGGGACCATATGGAATGCTGGAATTCGAACCTGGGTCGGCCATGTGCAAGGCATATGCCCTACCCACTATGCTATCGCTCCAGCCCCATTCGGTATTGTTTAAGATAGTCAATAGGCATAGGAAGTAGAATAAATTGTTATTACAGTTACAGTTTGTATAGATACTTAACTTTGGCATGGCTATAAAGAAATGATTTTAACAAAACAAACTATCATTTCGACTCGTTATCATCTTCACAATGACCCCTTAATGTCTACTATCTGATTAAAAGCAACAGCATGGATTATTTCTCAGCTCCATTATTTAAATTACCACAGATAGGGTGACTAAAACACATAGGATTCTTTTTTTCCTCTCACAGTTTGGGAGGTTAGGAATCAAGGTAATAGCCAGCCCAGGCTCCCTCCTTGACTCTCTGCAGAATCCTTTCTTCCCTTTTTTGTAGCACCTGGTGGTGCCATCAATTCCTGCCATTCCCTGGCTTACAGCTCCGTGACTTTCTTCTCTGCTTTTGTGACCAGATAGGACCTCCCTGTGTATCTCTTCTTCACACACCACAGTCATGTTGGATCAGGCATGCAGGGTCTCCTGTCTTAGTTTGATTACCTTAACTAAGACTTAACTAAGTCAAAAAATATATATACAGGTACCAAGGGGTTAGTTCTCCAACAGATTGGAGAGGGGACAGAATTTATCCCTAACAGAGTATTGTGTTCTAATTATGAGATACTGAGTGCACACCTGCATACTTTATTTTAACTTTTCTGTTTGTTTGTTTGAGTAGTACTCAGGGTTTACTCCTGGCTCTGTGCTCAGGGATCACTACTGGCAGTGCTCAAGGGAACCATATCTGGTGCCAGGGATTGAACCCCAAGTTGGCTGCATGCATGGCAAGCACCTGAACTGCTGCAATGTCTCTTCAGTCCCCTCATTTTTCATTTTTCTAACACTTCTGTGTAATAGCTCTTATGAAAGTTTCATAATATATTTATGTCTTTAAAAAACAATGCCGCCTCTCCTTCAGACAATAAGCACTGAAGATGTCGTTGATCACACACATTTATTTTTCTTCTGCGCACAAATGCTTGAAAGGAAGCAGAGATGATTGATTTTATAATTAGGGCTTATAAGAGACATTCAGAAGTAAAGTCTCTTAGAATCACCACTTATAATGCCCTCCACCAAATAAAAGAGAATCACATAGCATTTTGTGAATGATATTCGAAATAAGAGTTGACTGCTTGTATATACTGTTTCTCTTACCACAATCAGAGGAATTTTATACATAAACCAGTTTAAGTAGTGGCGGACTCCATCTCCAGAGTGAAATAAAATTAATATGGTTTATAAAGTTATATTCATGTGTTGGATTAAGAATGACAAGTGCTATATATACAATACGATGTAAGTTTGGAATGAAGGTGAAAGAAAAGAGTAGCATCTTTAGAGCATTCATCTGGCAGTCCCAAATTTTCAGTTGTTCCCAAGCATTTTCCTTATCTGAAAATGGTATTGTCTCTGCTTGGTCACAGTGCACAGTATCTATAATTCCTTAGTGTTCTAGTTGTGGTAAGTGTCACGTTGGGAGGTAGAGAATCTGGATTCCTTTTTGAAAACAAAGCCCGATGTCCCAGAAATGCTGAGACATCATTTCCTTTGCTTGTCTCACCAAATTGTGGATTCATACCTTAACAATTTGTTCCTTGGTTGCCTTCTTCTCCCATCTTGAATTACGGTATCAGTTCATTGTGTTTTCATGCCTACCTCACTTATTTCTGCTTAAGTTTCAACTATGTAACAAAAATGAAACCTTAATTTTTCTTTTTCTTCCTTTCTTTTTTATGAAACAACCCAGGGCAATCAAGAGCAGCCATGATACCTCCCAAGCATCCTCGGCAGCCTAAGGGAGCTTTGGATGACGCCGTTGCCTTTGGCGGGAAAACAGACCAAGAAACACTTAATGCTTCCCAGCCCACACCACCCCCACTGCCAAAGAAAATGATTATAAGAGCCAATACAGAGCCAATCTCCAAAGACCTCCAAAAATCCTTGGAAACTAGTCTTTGTGTTGTGGCTAATCCCACCTATGACATCGATCCCAACTGGGATGCCAGCAGTGCTGGCTCTTCCATCAGTTATGAACTTAAGGGACTAGACATTGAATCTTACGACTCTTTGGATAGACCTTTGCACAAGGAGAGGCATTTCCCCTCAGCAGCAAACAGCATCTCCAGCCTAACCACTCTCAGTATTAAGGACAGATTTTCCAATAGCATGGAGTCTCTGTCCAGCCGGCGTGGTCCCTCTTACAGACACGGACGAAGCATCCAGAAGCCCCAGAGACAAGCACTTTATCGAGGACTTGATAATCGGGAAGAAGTGGTGGGTAAAATCCGAAGCCTTCATACGGATGCCTTGAAGAAACTGGCTATTAAATGTGAAGACCTCTTCATGGCTGGCCAGAAAGACCAGCTCCGTTTCGGTGTGGACAGCTGGTCAGATTTTAGGCTCACCAGTGACAAGCCATGTTGTGAGGCTGGCGACGCTGTCTACTACACCGCTTCATATGCAAAAGATCCACTTAATAACTATGCAGTGAAGGTAAGACAGTACTACCAATCCAGTCTGCCTTTAGTCTTAGCCCGTTCTTCTTTCCTCCGTTTCTCCACTCTGCACAAGATGATGGAGCCTGTCTTATATAGAGGCTTAGCTCAGGAGGCTCCAGATGTTATGATAAATAGGGGACTTACTATCTGGAGACAATAACAGCTGTACAGAGACAAACTTACAGTATGGTATACTAACTGCTGAGATACAGGCAAACAGTTCTGTAGGAACTTGGAAGAGTCCTAATGGAGAGACTGGTGAAGTATTTTCAGAGTCGGTAATTCCTGAACTTTTGTTATTTGTCCTACCTGTAAAAACTGGTCTGTTATATACTTTCCACTCCGTTTCTGTCTTTATTCTATGGCAAATAAGAGATCCTTGGCTAGCCTTGCTCTCTATAACTCCTGTGCTTCTTGGGAAAATATTTTTATAGAGGAAGACAACCAGTATTTGTTGATAAGCTGAGAACTTTATCTGTGTTATATAATTGAATTTCATGTCAACTTTATGAGGTTAAGCTCTTTTTATCCATTTGACTGATGTGGGAAATGAAGCTCAAATGTCTCTTAAATGACCCTCCGGGTGAGTTAACTTGCTTAGGGTCACAAAGCTATCAAATTGTAGTTTAGCTGGAGTTTAAACATGGCTCTCTTGCTCCACAACAAATATTTTGTCTGTGTGACATACCATTTTCTTTTTCCTTTTTCTGTTGGTGGGGGAAATCCAAAGTGGTGCTCAGGAGGCTCCCCAGAAATTCTCAGACAACCACGCTACAGATTCAATGCAGCAGCCTTAGAATCCCATGCTTCTCTGGCCCTTCATTCTCCGGATATCTGGGCCAGTGCTGGGTCAGCACCCAGCCATGCTTAGAAGATCTCTGGTGCCAGCAATCAAACCCAGCCTCTGCCATGCAGCCCGATAAACTATATCCTGGCCTACTCAATAATTTCTTACAGATATATCAGCTATTCCAGACAACACATCTATTTAAGAGAGATTAAAAACTCTTGACAGGGGGCTGGAGAGATAGCACGGCGGGTAGGGCGTTTGCCTTGCATGTGGCCGATCACGGTTCAATTCCCAGCGTCCCATATGGTCCCCTGAGCACCGCCAGGAGAGACTCCTGAGTACAGAACCAGGAGTAATCCCTGTGCATCGCCGGGTGTGACCCAAAAAGAAAAAAAAAAACTCTTGACAAAGTATATTTGTTTCATTGTATTTACTCTAACAGTAAACCATTGACATCATTAATATAATAAATAAAGCAAGGACTTTGAGGACGTAAAGATCCGGCTTCAGGGGCTGGAGTGATAGCACAGCAGGTGGGATGTTTGCCTTGCACATGGCCAACCCGGGTTCAATTCCCAGCATCACATATGGTCCCCTGAGTACCGCCAGGGGTAATTCCTCAGTGCAAAACCAGGCGTAATCCCTGTGCATCCCCGGGTGTAATCCAAAAAGGAAAAAAATAATAGTAATAAGATCTGGCTTCAAATTCTAACTCTGTCACTGAGTAGATTTGTCACAGATTGTTTTTCTGTGCCTCAATTTCTTCATCTTTTTATTTGGCAGGGGCACTGGGATATTAAACCGTACATGCAGAGTGTGCACTCTGCCATTGAGCTATACCCCTAGCCCCTCCATTCATTCTACTTTAAAAGGAAGCAATAAGACCAGAGTGATAGTACAGGCGCTTGCTTTGCATGCAGCTAACCCTGGTTCAATCCCCAGCATTACACATATTCCCCAAGCATCTCTGGGAGTGATCCCTGAGTGTAGAGCCAGGAGTAAGCCTTGAGCACTGTGTCCCAAAATACAAAGGTGTGACCCAAAAATACAGAAAGAGCAGGGATATTAGCACTACCCATTTTATGGAACTGTTGGGCTAACAAAGAACAACATGTTTCTGATAAATATTCATTTCTTTCACTACCCCTGAACTTCTTCTGTAGGGTATTCATTTCTTTGTTGCTAGGTTAGGAGAAAATAATCTTGAGCCTCAGTTCCTCCTCATACATGTTTACAGTGACAGTCCATCTACTTTGTGGGATTGAGGTGAGGATGAAATAAGACAATGCTTATGAAAAATACCAAAACACTATGTAAACTTAAGGTAATATTCTCCATCCTCTTTTTACTGATCTAGTCACTGGTCAAAATTAGTTAACATATCTATGACTTTCCCATGTTAATTTGGCTCAGAAAGTCCAGATGGTGTCTTAGTAAATTAATGGGTAAGGTAAACAATTGGCACTACCTGTCTACCCAGAATGTATGTTTGGATCAGACCCTCAGCTAGCACCCTCAGCTCTATTACCTTCTGTAATAGAAGCATTGATACCATTCGACTCTGGGTGGCAGTCAGAGTGACCCTGTGCCCAGCCCACACTTTTTAAATTAAACTGAAGGGTAAACTTCAGAGAGGGGATCTAGATTCAAGTTAATATAGGACTTTTGAATCTAAGAAGATATTTAGAGACTCTGTATAACACTCGAAAGCTGTGATAGCAATTGGGGCGATGGGACTTCATCTATCTTGGACTTTTATTGCTCTAAAATCACGAGTGCAGGATGAATATCTATTTCAGAGCGGGGTATTAAACTATGTTCTTTCAAAACAATTGAGAGGTAGGACTTGACTAACTTTATGTATTATCACCTTGCAATCTTGTCTCTTTCCCAAATCAATGGTCTGGTATTGATTTCTTTGCTTGTAATGATGCAAAGCAATCTCCAAAGAACAGGTGGCAAGTGGTTATACGGGGAGTTGTTGGGCTGTTTGGGAATGAATGTTTCACACTAAGTGATGAATTTAAGTGTGTCTTTTGAAGACTGGATATTTCTAGCAGTAACTTTTTCATGTCCAACTTTAGAGGGCTTAACCACTGGTCAACTCTACCTTTGCAGAGATAAACAATACAGCTGCAGTTGGTTCACATAAACCACTCTGTTCCATTTGTCTCTTTAAAATATCCCTTTCCAGACTAATAGAATTTACAATGATCTAGTAAGTGTGACTGCCTCTTGAAGACAGGAAAAGATCTTTGAAATGTTGCAACAAGAAATAAGTGCTAGAATGTTGTAGTTTGAAAAGCAATGAATAATAATCCCTTAAATACCAAATTTACTACAGTGTTAGAGTACTAGGATCATTGCTTTGGCAAATCATTGTCTTGGCTTGCCCAGGCTTCTATAAGAAAATACCATAGACTATTTAAATACCCTAGGAAATATTTCAGAGTTCTGAAGGATGTCAAGTCCAAGCTGAAGGTTCCAGCTTATTCAGTTTCTAGTGAGAACTTCTTTGCTGGCCAACTGATGGCCGCCTGCTTCCTGTGTCCTCACAGAGCCAAGTGCTCCAGGGTCTCTCGGATGTCTCTTCTTATAAGTGTACTAATCCATAGGAGGGTTATGACCGCATTTAATTTACAATGCTTCTTTATAGAGCCTGAGCAATAGTATAGCTGGTAGCGTGCTTGCCTTGCATGCAATCACATGGGTTCAATCTCTGGCACCCCATATGCATCCTCATTCGGTCAGGAGTGATTTCTGAGTTTAGAGCCAGGAGTAAGCCCTGAACAGTACTGACTAAGGATTTAAAAGGGGGGGACCTTCTTGCTAGACTAGAAAGTAGAGATTTTACCTCCAAGTATAGCCACATTGTGGATTTGTACTTCAACATAGGTTGGAAAGGGGAGTTCACACTTCAGTCCATAGCAGTCTGTCCTTGGTGCCAAAATTCATGCCTCATCATATATAAAACACTTCAAACCATTTGAAGCCTTTGATGTCTCAAAGGCCTTAAGTCAACTCCAGCATCAACTCTAAATATCAACTAATCTGTTAGAAGTAAAATTTGTGATCCAGTTCTTCCCGAGGCACATTTCCTCTCCAGCGCGTAGATCATAAAAACAGAAAAATTATGTGCATTCAAAAATACAACTGTGGACAGACCTTGGCTGGACAATCTTAACTGAAGAGAAATCAGAGGAATGGTGCTAGCTGGGTCTGCAGCAAGTCCAGAACCTCAGGCTCAGGAATAATCCTCTGATTCGGTTCTGAGCTCCAAGCCTACAGAGATTCTGCATCACCCATTGTCTCTGCTGGGCACCTTACTTCTTTGAATATTTGCAAGGACCTGCCCATACAGCCCTCACTGAGGGTGATGCCCTATGGCTCTCCACCAAGCATCCTACCCTGAGCATCGAGTATGGGCTCCCTGATCCTCAGCTGGAAGCAGTCCTGCCCTTCTAAAGAGAGGGAAGAAACAGTCTTGTGCCCTGGTCCTGTGATGAAAGTGGCAGCCCTGGTGATATCTGAACCACCCAAAGTCATTCTTCCTTTTTCAGCTAGAATAGTTCCAGGTCGTACATTCTCACAGACAAACAGTTCGTGGTCCAGTCCCATAGAATTCAAAATGTTTGTCAGCCTGCCACATTCCCTCCTGATTTTCCTCCTTTAGTTGAGACTAACAGTGTCTTTGCTGGTAAAATCTCATGTCTATTCCTGGCTTCTGCTAAGATGACTAATTAAGTCCATGAGTCACACCCCTGATCTCTTTATCAAATGTTCAGCCTCGTCCTTAGTGTACTTTTTAGAATAAGCTTTCTTATTTTTTGCAGAATGACAGAATGAGACTATTTCCCACTCTGTGTCTGTGGTGGGGTGGGAGTGAAGAGAGCCACATCCAGCAGTGCTCAGGACTTATTCCTGGATCACTCCCAGTGGCAATTGGTGATCAGGGAACCATATATGGTGCTGGGATTTGAATTAGTCTCAGCCGTGTATAAAGGAAGCAGTGCCTTACCTCTGTCTATCTCATGGGCCCCAGTGTTTCCCAGTTTTAAGTTGTACCTTTTTGTTAAATAATGCCTTCTTCAACTCATTTCTCTCCTTTCACATTTTAGTCTAGGCAGTAAAAAAAAAAAAAAAACCTCCTTTGTGAAAGAATCTTTGCTTTAAGAATCTCCTCAGCCAAATATAAACACACAAGT